TCATTCCTTGATAGTGTTGTTCCAGGTGTTGAGTGCATTCCTTGATAGTGTTGTTCCAGTTGTCTAGTTCATTCCTTGATAGTGTTGTTCCAGGTGTTGAATGCATTCCTTGATAGTGTTGTTCCAGTTGTCTAGTACATTCCTTGATAGTGTTGTTCCAGTTGTCTAGTACATTCCTTGATAGTGTTGTTCCAGTTGTCTAGAACATTCCTTGATAGTGTTGTTCCAGTTGTCTAGTACATTCCTTGATAGTGTTGTTCCAGGTGTTGAGTACATTCCTTGATAGTGTTGTTTCAGGTGTTGAGTGCATTCCCTGATAGTGTTGTTCCAGTTGTTCAGTACGTTCCGTGATAGCCCCAAGAGCGTATTAAACATACTTAATACTGTTGTTCTAGTTGTCCTGTCTATTGCCTGATAGTGTTGTTCCAGTTGTTCAGTACGTTCCGTGATAGCACCGAGAGCGTATTAAACATACTTAACACTGTTGTTCTAGTTGTCCTGTCCATTGCCTGATAGTGTTGTTCCTGTGTTCCAGCGCATTTCTTCATGTGTTGTACCGTGTGTTGCTCGTCGGCGTTGTTCCTAGTTGTTCCGTGCATTGCTAGGTTCGACGATGTGATCATTGAACCCCGTGTTCGTGTGCTTGCAGATTAATGCGGAGTGACCAGTACTCATGATCATGACCACGGCGAAGTCATCAGCGTTTAAGCTCGATGCAATCTGCAACAAACTCAAGTCGGCGCCACAGCAGCGCCAAGGCGATGCGCCCGACTCCCTCCAGGGGGCGGCACCGGACGAAAAGCAGCTGCGCAAGAACCGGCGTAAGTGCTCGACGCCGCGGAGCATCCACCAGAGGGAGTCACCGGCGGCGGCGACGGCAACGGAGGCACGCGATGACGGCCAGGAGGGGGCGCCACCGCTGTCGTCGTCGCGGACGACGGACTGCTGCACGCCGGACGAGGTTTCTCGGAGCAGTGCGGACGCCGCGACGCAGGACGCGCCGGTGGCGTCCCCTGCTGGCAGCCTCTACATCGCCGACGATCGCTCGTGCGGCAGCCCCGCGCTTCCTCCGGACGACGCGTCCGAGGTCAGGGGTCGCGAGACGCCCGTCGCCGTGGAGACGAGCGAGGAGGGCGCCACTGAGGGTGTGTGCGACGATTCGGTGCCGATGGACTTGAGTACGCCGAAACGACGCGTCGTTGGCGACGAAGAAGAAGCCATCGACTTGTCCATATCAAAGAAGAAATCAAAGCAGCAGCAGCAGCAGCAGCAGCAGCAGCAGCAACAGCAGCAGCAGCAGCAGCAGCAGCAGGAGAGCGGCAGCTCATGCTC